TAGGGCCACTGAAGAGAGGAAACACTAACCAATGAACAAGTGTGCCACGATCTGTACAATACTAACAATAAGTATAGTCCATGATCATCTATGATTCTACGGTTATCTTCTCAGAGCAAAAAGAAAAGTGCCTCCAAATTGGTGAGAATGCCATAAAATCTAACTTTTTGCAATGATGTTTTTCTTCGAACTACCATCTTCTATAGATTGTGGAGCTGAGTTTAATGTTACTTCCGTGCTTTGGAAATCCTAGGCAACATGCAATTTACCTGTCGGCGCAGGTTGCGAAATAGCTTACCGCAAGGCGCGGAAAACGAGCACAGTTAGCCACCGGATCTGGCATTTTGCCAAGTGGTCGGCTCCTCCCATTGACCGCCTTATTAGGGCCAGGATCATCCTGCCGCCGAAGGCTGCAGAGATATGCTGGTAAGGTAAAGAAAGGGCGCGAATGAGGACTAGACAAAACCTCATTAAAGTGTGATTTATATGTAGATGAACAGCATTTCTTCTGTGGAATCGAACATTTTTAATGAAATCGCTTAATTTCGTTTGCTAAGGAAATATGAGATAGTCAAATCGATAGGTGTGAAACGCACTGATGTTCAGGGCTACACAATAGATGAAACGACAACCCTGTAATGAAGTCGACCACTAAATTGTTGTACTCCCCTAACAAGAGTCTCCATACTTTAACTCCATGACTATCTTTTCAAACTAAGACAACATACTCTTCAATCTCGTAAACAAGCAGTAAAATCAAGCTTTCCGAGAAAGAAGCTAGTTCAGGCTTCCTAAGTCCTTACTTGCAGACTTGAAGAGCTGATTTTTACAAAAGTTCGAGTTTGCTTTTCCTCCCAGGATAATCAGTGGTCGTTATAAGCATTTCAGGCAGCTATCTACAAATTCTGCTCCACCAACCTTAGCGTGATAGCAGAATTCTGAAGATGTTACTTTTTGATGAATCACTAACTAATTTACCACTATCACTAAACTGATTTTCAGGAGTTGTATGCGACTCAGACGGGCAAACACACAGAGACATGTGCCACTTCCTTCAGAAGAAATGTTTAACGAACAGAACAAT